GTCAGCAAACCAGTTACATTAAACAAATTAAAGTTTTCGTCTTTGCCATATAATAAACATCTTATTAACCGAGCTAAGTCGGTCTGTATGGGAGAATCTTGATCACGGTCAAGATTCTCCCATACAGACCTACGGCTCGGTTAATAAGAGCTAATTATCGAGTTGCCTTGTGCCTCTGTTTCAAAACGAGTCCTCGTGCAAAACCTTTCGATCATACGAAAAAAGAGTTTGATTTTACACGAAAATGAACCTCTAGGCAGAATATATTTTCACATATAAATGGTTTCGCACGAAAACGCGTTTTGAGACGGAGGCAAACGCGAACCCGGAAATGGCCTTTTTTAATTCGGGACCATTAGTCACAATTTCATCCATTGGTAGGGAGAAGGATATATGGACCCGCAACCTCTAGATTGCAAATCCAGCACGCTAACCGCTTGGGCACACCGCCCCTCAATCAATGGTTTATTTGAATGAAAAATTTGTCTATCAGGTTCAGGCTCTTATTATAGTGCCTCTTCAACACAAGAACTTTGTTGCGGCCTGATTATAACAAAGGGCAAGCTCGCTGTGTTGGACACAAAGAGATGGGTTGGTAATTATTGAAGTTATTTCTTGGTTACCGGTATGCTGAACTGTGACATCGGTAATCAATGGAACAAAGAGCTGCGAAGCATAGTCTTCGCGTTGCCTCAACAGTTTAGGATCGTGCGAAAGGCAATTTCATGATATCATGCAATACGGTAATATACAATTGTCTTTCTTTTTTTCTATCAGGGAAAACAGAAACATGCGGCAAAAAGATCGACCTGGCTATCATTCTAGACGCTTCTGCGAGTATAGATGAAGACAACTTTAACCTGGCCAAAGACTTCGCCAAGAGACTTTTGAAAAGGTTTACAATATCCCCAGACAACTCTCGAGTGTCCATCGTGTCATATTCACAACATATCAACATACAATCACGATTTTCTGATGATGAAGACGAAAGGAAGCTGGAGGACATCTTGAGGAATACGTTCTACGAGGGATCGTCAACTGGTACCGGAAAAACTATTAAGGCAGTGAATTTTGAAGTGTTTTCGTCCAAGTTTGGGTCGAGAATTGGAAACCCTGGTAAGCAATTTATTGAACAAAAGTACAAAAAAAACTTATATCAAGAAGCCTCCTATTAAACGACAATTCAACCTTCTCTTCAGTGGTCAGTTGTCAGTGTCTCCAAGGTAGACGATAGAAAAGTAGAAGATTTGAATTTGCTACAATAGGCCTTATGCATGATTGTACCAGTTTTCTGAATTTCACCCTAAAATCCCACTGATGAGAAATAATTCTGAAGTCTGAAGCACCATCCATTTTTCACGATGGTCTCCTATTCGCGTTTGCTGCCTTGGGTAAGCTTTTGTGTTGTTAACAATTTGTTTCAAAAAGCAAATTTTGGGACTCAAATGAGTTAACCTAATAAAGTGGTTTTCAATTGAGTGGCTAAAACTAAAACCAAGGCAATAACTCTGAGCAATCACAAAGGACGTAGTCAATCCAATGAACCAATCAAAACTCGAAATAAATAAATGTAGTTGACGAAAAGCGCGGGAAAACGTGAGCAAGCGAGTCTCAGTTTGTTTTGGTTTTAGTCTGATTGGATGAGAAAGCGGCGCCAGGTATTTTTTTTTTAAACAAATCGTGCGACGTATTAATGCAGAAGCAGTTACTTATCGACACCCAAACGAAAGCCCCTCTATGCGTAAGGTTTTAATCTGATGGCATCTCAGTTCCCTGTTGCTGAATTTGTTGCAGACGCAAAGCAAGTGACTGTGGTTGTCACAGATGGATTCAGTGGGATTGGTCCCGAGTTTATAAAGAAGCGAGCAGACGCGATAAAGGCGAGAGGAATTGAAATGTTCGCGATCGGAATCACCCAGAGAATGAACGACGAAGAGTTGACAGCTTTATCCAGTAAACCAGTTAAAAATCATTTCCTTAGGCTAACTGATAATAACGCTATGAAAGGCATAGTTGATCATATCGTTAAAGAAATTTGCAAATAGCAATGCTGGATGCATATTCCATGCAGGTACAGTTTTTGTTGCTCCGACTTTGGGTGTACCCTTTCTGTCTGCAATTTTGCCAGAAAAACTGCAATTGTGAGCAATCGTCATCATCATCATCATCATCGTCGTCGTCATCATCATCATCATCATCATCATCGGGCCGTTCTGAAAACCACCGATGTGATGAACGCACCTTGTTTCAATTGTTATTATTTATAATGGACCTTTTCGGCGATACGGGGCCATTTTGAATTCTACATAATATAGAATACTTCATGGAAAGTGTGTCCGTATGGTATTTACGCAGGAGTTGGTAAGTATCAGAAATCGAAAGAGTGAGCGCAGTGAACGAGTGAAATTTCTTAAATACCAACGAGTGCGTAAAAGGCGCACTTTCCATGCTGTCTTATGTCTATTATATGCATACTGGGATTCAAGCAACAAGCTCATAAAAGGTTTAATAAACGTACTTAAGTAAGAAATGCAATATTCAATAACGGGCACAGAATTTAAAATAAAACTTGTAAAGTTTAATCAGAGTCAGACTCTTTGATTCTGATTCTTTTCCATTTTTTTCGGTGATTTCCGCTGTTTCCGAGATGGTTAGCTAGGTAGTGAGTGTGTTACAGGAGGGTCTCAAAGGGGGTACCTCGACAACACTGAACACTTAAATTTTTGGCTCTGTAACACAGAACAATTAAATTTTGGGCATTTTAACATTAACAGTGAAAAATTCTCTGTAACAGTAAATTTTATCCCTAAGGAAACAAAAACGGCTCCTGAAAGGGCAATCTTTTATTCAAATTCTAAACGGATGTGAGGGTTCCTTGTGGATCAGCTGGATCAACTGTGGATCTAAAGATCGTTTTCTCTGTCACGCAATAAAAAAAATAAATCGAAAACTATTCAGTGGATAAAGTCAAGAAATTGTGATCTTATAGGAAACAAATAAAGAAGACGCTTCTCCAAGTTTTAGGTCTGTGCGTTTTCCCAAACTGCAGATATTCGTCGAGATGTTTCGCAGAAATTTACAGAGCCCAGTATGGAAACGCCATGTTGGTGCACCTCTGTGGTGCACTAATATGTAGGCCGGAAAATAGTGTAAACATCTGGAACTTACTTTGGCCATCTAGGCGAGTGATTATCTGTACTGAACAAACAAGCATTTACATAAGCACTTTTCCTAATGATCTAACTTCTAGAAACGCTAAAAAATCATGAGATAGATATATATTTTCGACAGATATGATCGTAGCTTTGTGTCACGCACCGCCATAACTCTGAAATTCAAAATACGCTGGTTTCCAAACGAAGCACACTATTGAGCTGTAACATTGTAAACAGAAATAAATATACCACCTCTTATGCCTGATAGGGATAAAAACTTTGGTGGCTCTCTAGTTTTCGATTTAGGAAAATGATGACGTCACGTGAAAATGATCTTGTCTCTGACCAAATGGATCGCGGTCGCTGAGGAATAATGAACTGTCACGTAAATTTAAAGTGATTTGTTTAAGCTCTCTGTTGTATACGACAGCGAAACAAACTAGACAGTGTAAATAGTAAGCTGGACAAAACTGTCCTGGATTGACGTTTTACGACAAAAAATTAAAACAAACAACGTGACCCAAATAATTTTGTGATTCCCTGTTACTAAATTCCACACATGGGAACTTATTTTTATATGGATCACGCAAGAAAGGCTTGCATTACACCTTGTTCAATTTTGGTAACTCAGTCACAAAAGTATGCAAAATCACGTGATTTCTGAGAAAAAAAGAGTCACATTTGGAGTGTTGTTTTGCGAAGAAACTCTACGTGCTAGTGGATTTTGACAAGAAAGCATGGGAAAAGACTTACAACTTATGTGGGAGAAAGACGATACTGTCTTCACAAAGTGATCCTCTTTGAAGTCTCTCTGTTCTTGCCACAAGATCGGTCTTTCACCCGTTTCACTTGAAGATGGCTGCCTTCGTACAAGCAACAAAAGTGCCCAAAATACTGCTGTGTTAAAGCGTTGTCGGCCAAGAACCTCAGACACCGCTAGTTGTGCTTTTAGAAACGTTTCCGGGCCTGTTTCTGGGCTCATCTACCAGGAGCTTGCCATTTTCTCGCATTTTCTTGCATAACAACTTGAAATAACTTTGTTTGGTTTGCCTTGTGACCCCTCAGTGGTAGCATCACAACTCGAATCTTTGATTTTCTAAACCGCTGATATATCACAGGATTATGGTGCTGTTTACATGGATTATTGCTCCTTCCTCATGCGAACTTGTCGAATTCATGAAAAAAATTCACAAACGCGCAACGATGTTCAGTTCTTCGCGCAACAACACTGGTCTACCACTACGATGTTGATGTAAACCATAGCTATTTTTTCTCAGAAACCGCGCAATTTTCCGTACTTTTGTGATTGAGTCCACAAATTTAGATCAGCTGTAACGCAAGTTTTCCTCGCGTGATCTATATGAAAATATCTCTCCATGTGTGGAATTTAATAAGGTTTATAACAATCAAAAAATTATTTGCATCGCTTTGCTTGTTTTAATTGTCTGTTGTAAAACTTCTATTCAGAACAGTTTTGTCCAGCGTAATATTAAGCAAATATTTTAATTTTGGAGCACTAACCACTGTTGACATTTTTTCGTTGCTCAAGCGCATTATTTATTCGCCAGCACTTATATTTCACAGATTCTGACAGATTCTCATATGGACCTCTCAAGAGTATTCTACCTTTGTTTAGAGAGCGATGGACAAGCGAAAATTGTGGTTTAGTACAACTGATAGTAATCAGGACGAAATACCAGAGCTTGGGCATATTTAATTTAACATGACTGTCCTCGACAAGGCCTTTTGTTTAAAAAAATTATGAATTCTTCAGTACACCAAAGAGGCGAAAACTTGCCACTACAAAACTAAATTAAAGAACTGTTTTGATCACTCGACATTTTCAAACAAGGATAGAACACTGTAAACAGGTTTGAATAAGACTTTCCGCCCACATCCTGATAGAGTGTCGACAGCCTTGTACGTAAAGAACGCGACAGAGCTGGGCGAGTGAAGGGAAGTCTAAATTGTAATGGGAAAGGCACAGGCGAATGTGAATTTTATGAACGAGAGGGGGTCGGGACGTACGATTTTCTGTCTTCCTCTCCCCCCTCCAGTTCTTTTCGCGCATTCAGCTGTCGCTCAAGAAGTTCCGAGGGTTTTCAGTGTTTTTTCCGGACATTTATGGACATTTATGGCCCGATCTGGCTCACGGGACGGTCTAAAATAGCCTAAATGGAGTAAATACCCTCTAGCTAAGCTTGCCTCGACCGACGGGTACTCCCCTCGAGTTTACGCTTCTTCATTCTGACATCACAGTGTTTACGTTCTTGTTTCTTCGTGTTCGATGGATGGTGTAAGAGTGAGTCATCACTACTGCCCGACTCATTATACATCGACCCCACGGAAACGTGAGCGAGATTGCGTTCAAATTGTCCTTTAACATTGCCTCTAACAGCCAAAGGAAAATCGAGATGAAGATGTTTACATCTTTGCCACTCTATATCGTTACCGCTCTATTTGCCATAGGATGTGTAGCAGGTATTGTAATTCCGATTTTTCACTTTAACAGTAATTAATCGCCATTATATTCATAGGAATTGAGGCATCGATCATGACGATTTTCTAGTTTGAAAGACACGCGGCCCTAACCAAGCGTTTTAGATATGCCCTTAAAAAGCAAATCTTAAAATAACCGCTCTTTATGCGATCAGACGTATTAACAACTACAGCAAAACTAATTTGCCGTTAAAATCTGTCGGGAACTTGTGCTAACGCATTCACGAAAAAAAAAGAAAAGAAAAAAAAACAAAAAAAAA